CGTCGGCGTCGGCGTCGGCGTCGGTCAGAGACTGGAGGTGGTCGTTGTGGTGCTGCTGTTGCATCTCCATGAGCTCGCGCAGGAACTGCTGGTCGTCGGCCATCTCCAGGGCGAGCGCGTCGCTGGGGTCGATCTCGCCCAGGTTCAGCTGATGGAGGGCGTCGATGGGCGGCGCCGGCGACTGGTCCTGGTCCAGGTCCTGCGGACCGCCCAGCAGCGCCGAGAGCGATTGGAAGGACTGCTGCGGCGGCGGCAAGGAGAGGGCGCCGTTGGCGGCGGGCGCAGGCGAGGCAGGCGACGAAGCCGCCGGTGGCGGCGAGAGCGTGGAGAAGGAGAGCGACGGAGCCACGGTCTCGAGGTCCATCGACTCCTGCCGCTGGCTGAAGGACGGGATCACCGGCTCCGAGTAGGACATCGACGGCGAGGGCAGCGTGTGGATGGGCTGCTGTTGTTGCTGTTGCTGGTGCTGGTGCTGGTGCTGCAGTTGGTGGGGTTGTAGGGGCTGCAGCAGCATCTGGGCCGGCATTCGGGGTTGCTGCTGTTGCTGCTGTTGCTGCTGTTGCTGCTGTTGCTGCTGTTGAGCAAAGGGCGCTGCGAAGTGCTGGTGGTGGTGGGGAATCGGTCGAGGCGAGAGCTGGTGGTGGTGCTGCGGCTGCTGCGATGGCTGAATGGGAAGAGAGTGTAACTGTTGATGTTGGCGTTGCTGCTGGTGCTGCTGGAACATCATCTGTTGCTGTTGCTGTTGCTGTTGCTGCAGCATCTGCCGCTGCATCTGCTGGTGTTGATGGTGGTTCTGCTGCATCATCTGATGTTGTTGCTGCTGCTGCTGTTGATGCCGAATCTGCTGGAGCTGTTGAAGCTGGTGCTGCTGGGCCGGCCAGGTCGACGAGGGGTCAGAGAACGAGCGCGCCCGGCGGATCATCGTCGCGCCGTGGTCAGCCAAAGGCTCGGTGGTGCCTCCCACGCAGGCATCGGCGGCCGACGGCGCCGTGAGCGAGTTCGACGGCGCGCTGAAGGAGGTCCTTCTACCCCCCAATGCGGCCGGCGACTGGGAGACGGTGGTGCAGGCCGACGCCGACGACGAGAGGCCTCCCCCGCTGCCGGGCTTGAAGCTCTTCTTCTTGATCGGCGTGATGCGCCCGCGGCGGAACGAACTGAGCCGGCGCAGCTTGGGCGAGGAGGTCGATGAGCCGTCGACGGCCGATCGCTGCATCTCCTCGATCGCCGGTACGCACGAGGAGAAGGTCGCCTGTTGCGTCGGCTGGTGGTGCTGATGGTGCTGCTCGATCGTTTGGTTGCCCTGTGCGCCGTACTGGTGGTGCTGGTGTTGCTGTGCCTGCTGTTGTTGGCGTTGCATCTGCATATGCTGATGGTGTTGCTGGAACTGTTGAGCTTGAAGAGTCTGAAAAAGAGAAAGAGAAGAGGCGCATGTGAGTTGACTCCGAGAGGGAGTGCGGAGACCGGCTCGGCTGGTCCATACCTTCTCCTTGAGCTGCTGCAGTTGTTGGAGCTTCCACTGTTTGTACATCTCGCGCAGGCGCAGCTGCTTCCTCCTTTGGATGAGCTGCTGTCGGATTTGCTGTTGCTGCTGCGGGCTCAGCTGCATGTACCGTTCGCGCCACTGAGCCTGTGCCGAGAACGGAAATGCTCGCTGTGAGTACGGTGTAAATATTGGGGCGGGGGGGGGGAAGAACGAAAGAGATAGAGGAAAGACGAAAAGCGACAAAAGAGCGAAGGAACGCACAAGTTGTTGCTGCTGTCGTACAAGGCGTGGATCGAACCCGCGTTTTTGGTTCTCTTCCTCCCGCCAGGTCGGCGGCATGGCCGGGACGGGAGCGACGGTACCAGAAGGAGCGGTGGAGGGAAAGCTTGTAGGGCGCTGTTGAAGAGGTTGCTGAAGATGCTTCGCCTGATGCTGTGGAATGAAGGGCTGCTGTGGTTGCTGGGGCTGGGGGTGCTGCTGTTGCTGCATCTGCAAGAACGGTTGGTGATGGAATGGTGGCTGGGACTGAGGAGCGTGCTGTGGCAAAAGAGAGTGTGGATGCGGTTGGGCTGTCGAAGAAGGCAGTAGCTGATAAGGCTGCGTAGAAACGGAGTGGTGCGCATGGTGTTGCTGTGGTTGATATTCCATAATGTCTGTTCGATAAACAGACCGCGCAAACCCTAACTAACTCGTAAGCTACAATAGCTGCGGAGGAGTTGACGTTGAGGAAGAAGGAATAGGCAGGAAGAAGATGAGAGACAAGTACGAAGGAGACAATACACGAATGACGAACAGAAGGTGGACGGCCATGGACACCAGCTCAGGCTCACTGCTTCAAGTAGTGAATTTCGCCTGTTTGGGGAGGCAAGCCACCAGCCACACAGACGCCAGCGTACCGATCGAAATTTCGAGCAAGCGCTCTTGCTTCTCGTGCCCGGTTTGTCTGGGGCACCGCCGGCACCCCCCCCCCCGTGGCATTCTGCCCGAGGAAGAATGTGAGAGCGTTTCCCTGTTCCTGACGTGCTTCTTGATGGCCGTCAACGGCCGTTGAGGCAACTTCAAAGCGTTGGTGATCGTGGTCGATGCGGAAACGGCGTTTGGTCGCTGTGTGTGCCTGGTTTTTGTCGACGCGGGCGGAGAAAGGGCCAAAAAGGGCAGAAAAAAAGGGCCAAAAAGGAACAAACAGAAGGTTCTGCTGCGCGTGTGGAGAGAGCGTTTGCTCCCGCTACTACAGCAACATCGGCAAGCAATCTTGCTGTAAGTAAGAGGAGACGTTGTCTTCTAGAGATCGAATCTACCAAGAGCAGCTGCAGCATCGGCTTTCGTTGATTCATCTAGACAACCTTCGCCATCGTTAGATCCCATTAAATTTTCCAGACGTGCGAGGCGAATGAACATGCGGTCGCTGTTCTCGGGCAAGAAGAGCGGCGATAGGGACAAGAAGAAAGGCGGCACTGGCTCTACATCGGGAACATCGACTTCATCTCATTCCTCGGGATCGAGCAAGGGGCGAGGAGGAAGTGGAGGAAAGGGCAACAAGAAGAACCAGCCCAAGTGGGAAGACGTGCTCAAGGATGACATCCAGCCCGTGAACGAGGAAACCACTGCTCACAAGAGCGGTGCTATCAACAACGTGTACATACGCGAGGACAAGGAACTTGGCCAGTACGTCCTCACCTCCCCCCAAAATCTCGACTAGTCGACTTGCAATCGCAGGATACAACTTTCGCGCAATTCGAAAAGCCGAATTGATTTAATTGGCAATTGCCTCCCTTCGCGCTTCAAATTATCTCAATGCGATGTTATGTACCGCTGCCCCACGCTTTTACATCAAATCAGTTTCGCTCTGGCCCTCTGCCGTGCAGATCGCCGCCCCCAATTCCAAATCCGCACCACCCGAACCAACTACTAGTTGCCATGGGTTTTGTTGGACTTGCGAGGGTTTTTGTTGTTTTTCTCTCTACTTGGCTCCGCCTTTCCCTTCATGCTGCCGCTTGTAGCTGTTCGCTTCGTGTTCGCTTCGCCGTTGTACCGGCTCATTCGGCGCTAACGAAGTTATACTTGAAATTTTGCTACAAGTACTGGCGCCATAAATACTTGTCTCAAATTTTGGGCTGGGCACCTCATGGCGAATGCCAGACGCTATTAGCCTCACTCTTTCCACTGGTGCTCGCGCTTCGCGAGCGGTGCTCTAACGCCTTTTCTCATCTCCACCGTGTGCAGGGGTGCATTCAGCAAAGTGTTCGAGGCAACGCACCGACTCACGAAGAAAAAGTATGCCATCAAGTGTGTATCCAAGCAGGCAGCACAAGAGGTACATGCATCGCGTTCGCTCCGCTGATGGCAGCTTGCGTGCAAGTACTCTATACTGATCGGTGTTGCTCCGGAGTGCAGCAAGATGTGGAGGCCGTGCGCAAAGAGATAGATTTCCTCACGCACATCAAGCACCCAAACATCATTCGCCTGTACGAAGTGTACGAGAACACATCCGAGATCTTCCTCGTGCTTGAACTGTACGTATCGCGTCTTTTACATTCGCCTGGCGTATTGCCTTCAGATTTACCTCGCACGAGCTACTTTTGCTTATCTTGCCGTCATCCGCGCTTTCTGTAGCATGGAGGGAGGAGAGCTCTTTGATCGCATTGTTGCCAAGCGATGCTTCTCCGAAGAGGAGGCCCGACGGGCGCTCTGCATGATCGCGTCTGCTGTCCAGCATCTTCACTCTCACTCCATTGTGCATCGGTACTGTCCGCCTTTTGCTCTGTACTCTCTTGAGTTCTCATGCTTACGAGTCGTTGCTTGTGCGCCGCGTAGCGATTTGAAGCCGGAGAACATTCTCTACAAGTCGCCCAACGATGATCACCTTGTACTCAGCGACTTTGGTACGCCTACTCTGCCTGGCACTCCTTATCACGCTCCCGTAAGTTGTTGGAGCCAACGGCTAGTCTGAACTGACCGTTTCTGCTGTCTATGCTTAGGCCTCTCGGTCGACGTCCCTGACGGCCGGTCGCTGACGCAGCCATGCGGCACACTTCAGTATGCAGGTAAGACACACTTGACTCACCACTCGTTACCGCTTTCATTGTCGCAGCTCTTTTAGTAACTTTGATCGTTTGCGGTTATGATCACTGGCAGCTCCCGAAGTGTTGACGGCGAGGACCTACCAGAAGGCCGTTGACATGTGGGGCATCGGCGTCATCGCTTACGCTCTGTACGCACTTCTTGCTCTCGTGCTATTCGAATACGGCAACATGCTTGCAACACGCAGGCTAAGTCTGTCTCGTCGCGCAGGCTTTGCGGGTTCCCGCCATTCTACACAAACACTGGCGATGAGCAAGAGCTTGCCAACAAGATTGCCGACGCCGCGTTCGAGTTCCCCTCGCCTTGGTGGGATCGAGTATCGAATTCTGGTACCGTATTCCTTTCAACAACTCTTGGCGCAGGTTCTTACGGCACTAACGCCTGCTCTGCCCTCCTTCGCTATAGCCAAGGACATGATCTCGGGGCTGCTTGAAAAGGACCCTACAAAGCGACTGACTGCCGAACAGATGCTGGAGCACGAGTGGATGGTGAACCCAGCGACGGAGGTGGCCTACCACGACACCGAGCACGTGGGCTTCCCCTTCCACCAGAACCGCAACTCAGAGATTTTCATTCAGATCATCAACAAGTACGCCTCTCCCTGCCCACAAGTTCAGCATCCCGAGTGCTCTTTCTCACGATACCCCGATGATCAGGACCATCGAGTACCGTCGTCAGTTGGAAGCGGAAGAGCTGGAGGAGCTCAAGCAAAAGGCCTGGTACACTGTATAGACAGGCCGTACGCTAACGCGCTCGTGCAAGTGCTGCGGAAACCACCACTCCTCCCGCCCTCGCGAATCCTCTCCTCTCCGTTTACGTTTCTTCCTCTTCGTCTCTTCATGCGCTTCGCTACGACGCGCCCACAGTTTTGTTCTCTTCATCACCGGCCCTCCACCTCTCTGCTTCGGAGGCCTCGCTACTCCTGCCGTGGATACAGAGCCTGGCGATCGCATCTCCTCTCCTCTCGCCTCAAGTTTTGTTTGGATGGATGGACGAATGGCTACCGCACGCACACCTACGCGCCCGACGCGCCGCGTTCCTCTACCTCGTCTCTCTGCACACTCCGCTCTCCTCCTCTACGACCTCCACACGACCTCACGACTCTCCAACAACATCAACAAGCATCGATACAAGCAAGAACGATCAGCCGCTCGCTCGCTCGACCGACGTCGTCCAACGGATCACAGACCAACGCCTCCGACCACGACGCCGATAACGAGCGCTCATCCACAAGCGGCCGCCTCCACGCCCCCCTGCTCCCGTCCATCATGTATAAACTCACTGCATCATGCCATCATCCCCCCTCGTCTTTTTATGTTGTTGTTCGAACGTGGAGCGTGCGGTCGTGCGCAGAAGAAGAAACTAAGCTAAGAAAACAACAATGAAAAAGCAGGGCAGCAAGATTAGAAGATGATGCACGAAGATGAGATGCACGACGCGAGAAAAGAGGAAAGTAGACAACACTGCGAGAACTCACTGCCCCCCCCCGGTGTTCTGCCCTCATGTGTCGTGGATGACCACTCCCTGCTGAACCCTTGGTCTTCCCCCCACCTTGCTCGGGCACCATGGAACGAGCTTCCGCAGGCTCTCCATTTACTCCAATGGCCGGGCGTGGTGCTTACAGTTGAGCCAATGGGCAGCGGTTGCACCAGTTGCGCTGGGGGGTGGGACGAACACGACCCACACCGCGTCATCGTGAGTGCGGCGTGGATCCCTGCACAGGTTTCCTTCAGGTTTTCGAGTGGTGCGAAGGAGGGGATCACAACGTGGGGAAAGCCACCGGTCATCCTTCACTCTTCACTGCCTCCAGAGCACACGACAGCACCCTTGCCATCAACAAGCACTGTGCAAATCGCACACACACACACACACACACACACGCAACACCACAACCAGCCGCACACGCACACGCACATACAATGGACCAGCTCAAGCAGGCAGTGGACACCGCGACGGCCATCAAGGACGCCGTGGGATCGGTGGCCTCGACCGTGGCCTCGGCCCTCGGGAAGGACGCCAAGAGCACCCAGCTGGCGGGCCACACCGTGGAGGACCCCCAGAAGGGCAACGTCATCACCACCAACTTTGGCGTGGCCGTCGACGACACCGACAACAGCCTCAAGGCCGGCGAGCGCGGCCCCACGCTCCTGGAAGACTTCCACTTCCGCGAGAAGATGACCCACTTCGACCACGAGCGCATCCCCGAGCGCGTCGTACACGCCCGCGGCACGGCCGCCCACGGCTACTTCGAGCTCGACGAGTCCCTGGAGGAGTTCACCCGCGCCCAGTTCCTCTGCCAGACCGGCAAGCGCACGCCCGTCTTCGTTCGCTTCTCCACCGTTCTCGGCTCACGAGGTACCAGCCTTCCATCTTTTTTTCTTCTACTCGACACGACGATCTAACGGTTGTGTGTCGTGTCGTGCGTGTGTCGTGTGTCGTGTCGTGTGTGTCGGGTGCGGTGTAGGATCGGCTGACACGGTGCGAGACGTGCGTGGGTTCGCGGTGAAGTTCTACACGGACGAGGGCAACTTCGACCTGGTGGGCAACAACATCCCCGTGTTCTTCATCCAGGACGCCATCAAGTTCCCCGACGTCATCCACGCGGGCAAGCCCGAGCCGCACCACGAGATGCCGCAGGCGCAGACGGCTCACGATTCATTCTGGGACTTCGTCTCGCTCACGCCCGAGACCGCGCATATGATCATGTGGACCCTGTCCGACCGGGCCATCCCGCGCAGCTACCGCACCATGCAGGGCTTCGGGGTGCACTCGTTCGTGCTGGTGAACAAGGAGGGCCAGCGTCGCTTCGTCAAGTTCCACTTCATCCCGCGGCTGGGCACGCACTCGCTGGTGTGGGACGAGGCCCAGAAGCTGGGCGGAACCGATCCCGACTTTCACCGGCGCGACCTCTACGAGGCCATCGAGGCCGGCGCCTACCCCGAGTGGGACCTGGGCCTGCAGATCGTCGACGAGGCCGACGAGCACAAGTTCGACTTTGACCTGCTCGACGCCACCAAGATCATACCCGAGGAGCTCGTGCCCGTGCGCCGCGTCGGCCGCCTGGTGCTCAACCGCAACACCGACAACTTCTTCTGCGAGACCGAGCAGGTGGCCTACTGCACGTCGCACCTGGTGCCCGGCATCGAGGCCTCCAACGACCCGCTGCTCCAGGGCCGCCAGTTCTCCTACTTTGACACCCAGCTCACGCGGCTGGGCGGCCCCAACTTCGAGGAGATCCCCATCAACCGGCCCGTGTGCCCGGTGACCAACAACCAGCGCGACGGCTTCATGCGGCAGAAGATCAACAAGGGCCGGGTCAACTACTACCCCAACCGGTTCGGCTGCCCGGCGCTGGCCGACCCGTCGCGGGCCTACGTGCACGCGCCGGTCGAGGTCCACGGCCGCAAGCTGCGGGCGCGCGGCCCCAAGTTCGCCGAGCACTACCGCCAGGCGACGCTGTTCTACAACTCGCTGTCGTGGTGGGAGAAGGCGCACCTGGTGGCGGCGGCCTCGTTCGAGCTGGGCAAGGTCGACGACGTGGGCGTGCGCGAGCGCATGATCGACATGTTCAACCACATCGACTTCGAGCTGGCGACGCGGGTGGCGGACGCGATCGGGGTGCAGCCGCCCAAGGCCTTCGCGGGCGAGGCCCACAACCAGCAGTCGCCGGCCCTGTCGCAGGCCAACACCGCCAAGGACTCGATCGCGACGCGCAAGATCGCCTTCCTCGTCGCGCCCGGCTTCAACAACGCGCAGCTGACGACCGTCGCGGCGGGCCTGACCGCGGCCGGCGCGATGGCGATGTACGTCGGGCCGCGCAAGGGCGAAGTCAAGGGCGACGCCGGGTCGACGACGTGCCAGTTCTCCTACTTGACGGCGCGCTCGGTGATGTTCGACGGCGTGGTGGTGGTCGGCGGCGGCCAGCACGTCGCGGCGCTGTCGCGGTCGGGCGAGTGCAAGGCGTGGATCAACGAGAGCTTCAAGCACGGCAAGCCCATCGCGGCGCTGGAGGAGGGCGTCGACTTTGTGCAGTCGCTGGGCCTGCCGGTGGTGAAGCTGGCCGGGCCGGGCGAGGCGCTCGTGGCCGACCAGGGCGTCGTCACGTCGCGCCAGCCCGTCGCCGACCTGCTCGACTTCGGCAAGGCCCTCTTCAACGCCATCGCCGCCCACCGACACAACGAGCGCGAGGTCGACTCCGTGCCCGCCTAAAGCCCGGCATCGCACACACACCACACTTTCCACACATACCGAGGGAAGAAGAAGAAGAAGGACGAGGAAGTGGTACTGGGTGCCTTGTTTGTTCTCTTGTGCTCCGTTGAGATAAATACATTAGCCAATCTTGGCGTTTGAGAAGTCCATTTCTGTTGAGGGATAGAAGAAGAACACCAGAAGAAGAAGCAGAGATGGAGGAAGGAGGTGAGTAAACGAATCACCTTGTTGCTGCACTATGGCTTGTGTAGCCTGGGGAGGTGCTGGCAAGACGTACCGGGATGGGACTTCATGAAGTTCTCCAGCGCGGCCTTCTTCTGCTGCTCATCAGAGGTTGCACCGGCGGCCTTCTGGCGCTGTTCGAACTGTTGAAGATGCAAGGAAGCGAAAGGTAAGAGATATGAAGAAGGAAAAGAGGCGGGGCACGGTTACCATCATCTTCTCCACGATGTTCCTGGTTTCGTCGTCGAGATCGGAGAGCTTGGAGTTCTCTGGTTCGATCTTGGTGGTGTCGATTTCGGGATGACCCTTAATAATGCACGTCCACCACTCCATCTTGTTCACCTTCTGCAACTCGATGAATATCGTGTTGCCCTCATCTGCAATAGTAAACATTAATAAATGCTCATTAAAAAACAGTACAAAGCGAAAGGCGTACCCATTTGCCAGAAGCTCTCAATGGGCTTGATTTTCTTGTGCACTTCGCCCTGTGTGCCGCAACGCCTAGATTAGGCATCGATGTGAGACAGCAAAAGGGAATGGACGTACATCGATGAGAGGGGGCTGGCCCTTGAGACCAACGGTGAGGTGGGTGGCGGTTATCTTGCAGTTGACATCGCGAGCACGCGTTCCTGCAGGCACGGGAATGCTGAGCGTAGCCTCGGCCAGCGTCTGTGTCCATTTGTAAGGAATTATATGGTCCTTATGCTCCGTTTCTGACATCTTGTTCTTTCAATGCGCAGACCACGAAGCTAATCGTCTGAAATCAAACAAATCGGCCAAAGTCGACATTAATGCTGTTTCGCTGTTGTCGTGGAATCTGGCGGAAAAGCAAAGAAGGAAATGACCGAGAAATCCATTTCCTGGAACTGTTTAGATTGAAATAAAGGCACCGTTTTCATTTCTGTCCCCAAAACGCAAAAGAAAAACAAACCTGCAACCCTGGACATGGCCGGTTCGTCCTCCCCCCTTTGGGTCCGCTCCATCTTACATTCAATTTCGAATTACAATTCTCTCGCTGTACAGATTTTCAAACGGAGTTGAGCAAGCTGGAGGACCTCTTCCGGTCCGGCTTCATCATCGAAGACGAGTACGCGCAGAGAAAGACCGAACTGCTGGCCCAGCAGTCCTCCGCGCCTGCCGCCGAAGAGAAGCCGAAGGAGAAGGAGACCGATGTGGAACAAGGTACTCACCGACCATGCCACCGGTGCCTCGGGGTGGTACTACGGCCGTCGCTTGCTAACGTGCTTCCCAACACATCGTTGTGACACTAGGCGAAGAGCACGCGGGTCACTGCTGCCAGCACGGCCACGCGCAGCATGACCACCACCATCACCACCACCACCACGAAGGCGGAGACGACGATGAAGATGATGAAGACGATGATGAGGAGGAGATCTACTGGGAGGTATGCACAACTGTCTGTCGACACTCGTGCCGCTCGTTACTGACTACCACCCTCACCACGCCACCATCGTAGTGCGACCACTGCGGCA